GGGGGAGGGGGCGACCGGGGGGGGGACCGATGCACCACGCATGATGAGGTGTAATCACAAACCCCATTCAGGGGGCAGCAGAGTTTGTCAACATACACACATTCACATTCCACTGTCTGTCAGCTCCATGACCCAAATCGAGCATGCTGTGTGTTAGTGTGTGTGCGTTTTCCCTCACACACAGAAGGATGCTTTCTGCCCATTGCCAACCAGGTAGTAACAGTTGCACTGTCTGGGCTTGTGGTTTTGCGGTGAGGAAGTCAAGATTCCAAGCTCTTGTAGGATTTCACCGCCGCCTGTATCCCTTTACAGCCGGCGATCAAGTGATCATTATGAACAAAGGACTTGGCTTGTTGCCTCTGGAGTAAAAGCTTTTTCAGTGGCTGTGACCGTGTGGATTTGAAACGTAAAAAAGAAATTGGAAAAGCTACAGAAGAGAAGACACTAGTCATGTTCAAAATAATTGAATAAGACTCAATTAGACACTAAGAAATTAAAACTTAAAATGGAATGAAACTTATATTCCCATATTAAGCCAAAATATATTTTCATGTATGTATTTTAGTTAGTTAAAAAACAGAGATGGCAATGTCTGTGGATAACGTACAGCCTGATATCTCAAAATACTAAGAATTCAGCTTTGATGAGTCCTGTAACATAAAGTGCACTCGGAGAGCATTTGAGCTCATCAGAAGGGTTATAATAGTGGACATTTAGTTGATGTCATAATGACAATTTCCCTATAAAACACTGGGCTGTGAAGGGCTAACATAAACTGAGCGCTGTGTGTTCAGGCTGAAAAACGAGTCTGTTTGACAGTTTGGTGATAACACACAAGTTCAATCTGTCAAGACAATCAGCATTTAGACCTTGGGAGAAGAATGCGCGCCTGTGTGCGACCGATTCATTGGACACGATCACCTGCGAGTGAAGCGGCTCGTAATTCTTCCCACCTGAAATGAAGAGTTCAAACCGGTGTCAGGCCGCTCTGATGTCATGCCTGCCTCAGGTTGGGTTTCACAATAATCTCAGGCTCTTGGAGAGATGCCATCGGAGTCCGACTTCCGCACCCAAGCTTTCTCCAATTAAACATCGGGGGAAAGAATAACACGTGAAACACTAGATCCCGGCTCAGTCTTTAGGAAATTAAGGTGCAGCGGTTTCAATCAGTCATTTCTAATATGAGGTGTTCGTATACAAACTATGTATGAAGGGGGCCTCAAAGTATGCAGCTGATGGGAATGTATCTTTTTAACATCTGGAAAATAGCATGAGAGAGAAAGAGAGGACGAGGATCAATAGACTCATTGAGTCTCTTTATCTTCTCCTTAAGGAATGACAGCAATACTCATTCTGAGTCGACTCGCCTGCCCAGCTTTGTAACTCCATTCTCATGGCAACTGTGCACTCTGGACAAACACTCTCCATGCAATCTCTTTTCTCCACTCCTCACCGTCTGCCCTGCATCTCCACATCCTCCGCTCGGCCCCTGTGTCATTTCTATTCTCATCAGACCCCGTGCAATAAATACCCGAGCCTTGCAGAGAAGCGATATAAGTATAAAAGAAGAGAGGCCGTCTAAAAGTGGAGTAGGTGATCTCAGCCTTGTTACATTTTCAATTTGTGATGGTGATGGTGAAAAAAAAAAAAAACTGGGAATATACATCCCAGGTGTGAAAAATATTTCATCTGCGGAAATAGTGTAAGTACTATTCCGGAGTCTATTTAAAAACAGGACAGCTGCTAATCCCAGAGATCAGCAAAGGGCAACACATCATTGCTCGATCCACTTTTGCTCACGGCACTATCAGACCCCAAACCATTACATTACATTACATTACATTGCATTTAGCTGACGCTTTTATCCAAAGCGACTTACAATAAGTGCATTCGACCAGGAAGATACAACCTTTAAGAAAACAGAATCATATAAGTACATCAGGTTTCATAGAGCCAAACATTTCAAGTGCTACTCAACTGGCATTTAAAAAGCCAGCCCTTTATTAGTATATAAGTGCTTTGTTAGTAATTTTATCGCTCGAAGTGGAGTCTAAAGAGATGAGTTTTCAAACCAAACCTCATTAAGTTGAAATATGGAAACTTGGATAACTTCCAAAAACTTCTCTCNCACACACACACACACACACACACACACACACACACACACACACACACACACACACACACACACACACACACACACACACACACACACACACACACACACACACGTTCGCTTGTGCACTTGTTGGCTGTTTGAAGCGGCCACAAAAATCGCAGACAAGAGGAACGCCGTGCTACTTCCCTTCACAGGTGAGCAGGAGAAGGAA